GACAAGCTTTGGATTATGAATACTTATACCGTTAAAATTAATAGGAATTGATAATGTTGCATTTATTGGATTCAGAAAAATTGTTACCATATGAGTTGAGATTAACGTTTTACTACCCTTTGGGACACGATTTGTATGTATATTATGATAATTGTTCACATTTAAGACCATAGAAGTCTCATGGTATTTTTCTAAATAATTGTTTATTGTATCCATATGGCTTTCTGAAATTTCTTTTTTTTTATGCCAAACTGTTTGGGACGTTGATGTAATACTGAGTTCCGCTAAAGTATTAATAGTTGAATCACCTGTGCCTGTAGAATCAAGATAAAAAGCTAGATCATGCTTTACATTAATAATAAATTTGTTATGTATACCACAAGAATATAACAAACGAGTAGCAACTGGGACATAATTTTAGGATACAATTTACATTTTTTTTGTGGTAAATTTGCTGATAATACAAGTTCATCAAAAAAAGCTTTCAAATGCCTATCTTTAGCTTCTATGCAGGTACGAAATTCTTCAAATGTCCGAAACGCTAACAATTTTTGAGTAACTTCATACCGATATAAAACCTCAGTTATAAATTTTATTACATTTGAAAAAGACATTACCTTCAAGATATCCTCCTGAGTATCGACCACTGTATCGGGATAGTCTTCAATACCTGCAGATTGAGCATGTTCTTTCATCACAGCCGAAGGTCGAACAACTATTCCATTGTAACACCGCTGGCATATCACATCATTAACTTTTAAGTAAGCTGGTAAAGTTTTATTTTGCTGAGCCCATTCTAGAACAAAATCAGTAACCTTTTTTAAGGGCTGATTAGAAGCTTCAGCACACATGATTATTGCACATTGTCATTTCTCAAGGTTGAAATCCATTTCTTAATGAGGTATACTTAGATGTGGTGAATCCTAAAGATACACAAAATACTTAAAGCTTTCTTTGCGAAGAGTCTTTGAGAATAGTTTAACCGGTTCTTAATTATTAAAACAAAAAAATTTACTATCAGGGGTTGTAAAAGTACTCTAAACTGTATAAATTCAATTGAATAAAATTGACCAATCACGAGAAAGTTAGCCTATATAGGCTATAGTGGGTCAAAAATTTTTACTATTTTGTGTAACCCGAGCTTCTAGAATTCGATCCGACGATTCAGATTCGGACCTCGGATCGAACTTGCGAAGCACTAATTAATACAAGCATAATCAACTTTACTTAGTTTTTCGGGTACAATTTATTAAATTTTTTGGACATTACTAACCTACTACGTAATTGAGCTACAATACTGCTTATCAAAATCGATTACGAGAGAGTGAAAACCTGTAACCAATCATAGTAAATCATTAAGTCTATTTTCAGGTTTCACTCTCACTAAGTGGCAAAGCCCTAACCATAACCTAACAGCACAAAATTTTACTTCTAGAGCAACCAATCACATGAAATCATATGATAATATGATCAAATTACATGAAACTATACCGAAACTTACACAAGATAACGTAAAATTACGTAAAAATCACGGCAATTTTACAGCCCTATGCATTACTAATCTATTTTCATGAACTACTCAAATATCTTATTTCATCCGAGTATTGAAACACGTTAGTCTAATAAGGGTGCTAAAAGACGCGTACAAATTTAGGCACAAAGATTCCAAAAATATACAAAATTGTAATCTTATGAAGTCAAATATATTGAGGCTTACACAATAATATTAATAATGAAGATTAAAAACTTTATTAATAAATAATAAACAAACTATAAAATGTAATGTATGCCTATCTTCTTAAACGTACAAAGAATGCATTTTTACACCCTAAACTCCCATCAGGCAAGTACTTGTCATAGAAATTTACAATAAATTCTTCAGGTTTGAACCCAAACTTTTGATATAGAATCTACATAAACGAATAATATTATTAATATTTTCATTATCAAAAAAAGAATTATCTAAAGTTTTGAATACCATTGCTGGATTATTTGCTGATACATGAAGGGTTACATCTTTTCCTAAGTTGGTCTAAAATTAGGAAATTATATATAATATTAGTGAATATCTATCAAAAAAACAACGTTTTATGTATATATGTATATTCAAATTTAACCTGAATTAAATGATACAACATAAACCTGACATGATAAATCTACAATCAGTAATTACGTTAACAAAGGTATTGATAACAAATAATTATATAACTACTTACTGTCCTATTCCTGATTTTTCCCATCCAGGTGCAACAGCAATATATGTGATATAAGCTTCCGGTGTCATAAACCCACATCCAATCACCAATCGCTTATACATGGCTACAACACTAAAATCTGGGAAAAGGAGGTTCTCGGATACTAAACAGAACAGAAATATAAATATAATAATTGTATGTATTAACAAAATAAAAATGTAAACTGACTCACCATCAATACTTGGCCAAAAACATCTTTGCAGCAAATCATTGACCTGACTCAAATGTTCCTTTTGGAAATAACAAAAATCAATAGGACTAGAAGGTGGTGGCAACCAATCTGGTTCATTACTATAATCAATAAAAATAGTTAATACTTTGAATATAAAAATTTTTTAAGATATCTTTATTAACGCACACCGATAAGCGTATTTAACAATTTCTTGTAATAAACATAGTTTTGGTGGCTTTGTTTCATAATCCCTGCGGATATATGGTCTTAACTTTCTACAAAAAGGACTAGTCCAAGCCTCTTCCACAGTAAGAGTAGTAGCTAAACGAGGATTGCCATATAATCTTGATGCGAATGAATTCTTGTATGGAGTATGCGTGATCTGTTAAACGCAAAAACTTTAGAATTCATTTAAAAGATAAATTAATTGATAATTTGTTAGAATATATTAAAAAAATTATACTTTAGAAATCTGGTCTAAAAGTTCAATGTCAGACGTTTTATTAACTTCAAAATTTTTAACTTCATTTTTCTTTAATTCATGAAGGTCTTCCTCTACTGTTGTCATC